TCACACTGGTCTAACCTACAACAATATAGAAAACAACATCATCTAACTGGTCTAACTACAACAATATAGAAAACAACATCATCAAACTGGGTCTCACACTGGTCTAACCTACAACAGTATAGAAAACAACATCATCTAACTGGTCTAACTACAACAATATAGAAAACAACATCATCAAACTGGGTCTCACACTGGTCTATCTACAACAATATAGAAAACAACATCATCTAACTGGTCTAACCTACAACAGTATAGAAAATAACATCATCTAACTGGTCTAACCTACAACAGTATAGAAAACAACATCATCTAACTGGGTCTCGAACTGGTCTAACCTACAACAATATAGAAAACAACATGATATAACTGGGTCTCACACTGGTCTAACCTACAACAGTACAGAAAACAACATCATCTAACTGGGTCTCAAACTGGTCTAACCTACAACAATATAGAAAACAACATGATATAACGGGGTCTCACACTGGTCTAACCTACAACAATATAGAAAACAACATGTTCTGGTGGAAAGTAAAGAGAATTTATTGTGGAAACATTGTCTCATATCAAGAAAGATAACTCTAGTGCAGAGATACAGTTGTGGGATCGCACAACGTTACACGATGTGCGGTGTGCGCACGATGTGTGCACGGTGTGTGAACGGTGTGTGCACGATGGGCGAACGATAAAAAACTGGACGATCATTGCTTGCGCACATCTGTGCGCACGATGGACGGACGTTGTGCGATAACAATCGTGGTTGGTGTAAATTGAGGAATGCCTTAACAATTTATACGGTTTCGTGTTTAAACATATAAACTTGATGTTTACGTATGTTTCTATATTCTAGCAACATCTATAAACTTATCTTTCTGTCTATACATTCTTATATTTAGAAATTGTGTTTTCTGTGTTTTTAAACAAACTTAATCGACACATGTAAAATTACAACACAATCCCGTATACAGGTAAACATAACCACTTTGTACATGTACCTGGACCGTAGTTTTCTCCCCGCCTGGGGCACTTACGTAACTCGTCGGGTAAGGCCGGGGGTGTGAAAATCCAGGTGAAGGGGAGCTATAGGCAAACGAATGCAAATAACAAATACTATTCATTACGGTCAAACGGTATCGCATATCAGCTCTGTGTGTCAGGCACTGGTCAGGTAAAACTCCGGACACTCATAAAATTGTTATTTACCTGTTCTGTTACCTTGGAGCCAAACCCATTCTTGACAGCCTAACGGTCGCTGTAATACTGTGTAACACGCATTGTGAAATTGTATAATCTTGATTATTGTGATGAGAAATTACAGATATATACACAGTGTACATTATCGCATACAAGCCTTCCGTATTTTTGTCATTCCGTAATTTTGATCTACAAATGATACCAAATCGCACAGTTGTGCGGAGAGATGCGCACAACGGGGCGAACGATTGCTAAATCGCACAGTTGTGCGCACCATGTGTGGACGATGTGCGGACGGTGTGTGAACGATGTATGCACGGTGTGCGCACGCTATTTTTGGTGCGTTGTGCGGTCCCACAACTGTAATTCTTCCAATTTGGCATTGAATTGCCTACAGTTGGATCAAAGTGTTAAAAAAACTCTCAGAAATTGTTGTTTCTATGACAAAGGAATGTAGTTTTCATTAGGTTTAACCAACTTAAGACAATTCGGTCCGTATTGCATTTTCTCCTAGATGTTTTTGGTACTTTTAGCACTTTAGATCAGAACTACATTCTTACGTCATGGGAGGTATTCGTTTTTACACCAATGAACTTTAACCTTGTAGGACTTACATCCGCACAATGCGCTTGATCTTGAGTATCTGCTCCTGTTCCGGGGGACTGATGGTCTGTTCTATCTCCTCCCTCTGCTCTTTATCGGTCAGTGTCGCTAAAATAGCATCCACTCTCTCCTTCTTGTCAAGGAGTCTCCTATAAAACACAAAGTCAACCTCATACAGTACATGGCCTCCGATGTTGACAGCACTCGTCTTTTGAACTGTTTTATATTGTTCTTCAAAAATATGTAAGCTGAAGGTGCAGAATAAAAATCACAAGAAGAGAAAATCACCTAAACTGTATGATGAACGGAATTTGCCAAAAAAACAGCCTGATCACCATTTGTTGTTGACTAAATACCGATATTTATTACTAAACTGCAGTGTTTACCGGTTTGTAGAAGGTCTCTAATCGATTATGCAAATGGAACTTTTTATCTCAAAGTTAAAGCAACAGGAACCTTGAACTTGGACACAGCAAGTCCAAAATCAAAAAGGTTCTTCCTTGGTACAGTACCTGTGTTCAGCCACCTCTGTTTCACGTCGTATCATGGCATTCTTCACAGCCTGAGGAGAAATAAAGGTTATATTCAATACGTTAAAATAAATATATGGAAATACTTGCCCACAAACTATTATCAACCAAAATAATTTGATTCACTGCTTTGAAAATTTTCAGTTCTTACTTATTGATTGAAAGTTTATAAAAGCACTGCTACCAAAAAGTTGACTACTATATCAATTAATTCTAAAAGAACGTACATGTAACTGGTTTTGGTGTGGGATCGAGAAATCGCAACTGTGAGGATTTCAATTCATGCGGAGGACAGGACCTGTCACAAATACACACCGATCATATCTTTTGTTTGTGTATTTACTGACGTACCATTTACCAACTGATACTCCTGTCCGTGTATAGGAGTAGGGTACAGCACAAACTCACGAAATCACACTAGGGGACGAGACGCTGTCCGTGTATAGGAGTAGGGTACAGCACAAACTCACGAAATCACACTAGGGGAAGAGACGGAGAAATCTCACACAGAGTGAAATTTGTCTGTCAGAGTTGTGGGAAACTTCTCATGCATATCACTATTACTAAGTAAACAGTGCACAACCCTATCTTATTAGACCTCTGCTGGACATTTAAGTTTTAAATTAAAAAAGTCCAATCTTGTAACACCAGCCGGACAGTCACTTACAAAGTTAATTGGGTCTCCCATTTACTTTGTAACACCAGCTGGACAGTCACTTACAAAGTTAACGGGGTCTCGCATTTACCTTGTAACACCAGCTAGACAGTCACTTACAAAGTTAATGGGGGTCTCACATTTACCTTGTAACACCAGCTGGACAGTCACTTACAAAGTTAATGGGGTCTCACATTTACCTTGTAACACTAGCTAGACAGTCACTTACAAAGTTAACGGGGTCTCACATTTACCTTGTAACACCAGCTGGACAGTCACTTACAAACTTAACGGGGTCTCACATTTACCTTGTAACACACTTACAAAGTTAACGGGGTCTCACATTTACCTTGTAACACCAGTTGGACAGTCACTTACAAAGTTAATGGGGTCTCACATTTACCTTGTAACATCTCTGCTGTACAATCCTGGTCACCTGGGGAATGTCTACGTTGAACAGGTAGAATGTGCGGGAGGGAGCATGGTCAGGAGTTTTGGACACTTCCTGTGTGGTGAGAAATTCAGTAACTCTATAAATATACATGTAGTACAACATGTTAAGTAGTTGAATTTTATTGCATTAATCAAACCTTTCAAGAGGCGTCACAAATTATCAATGTCAAGAGACAATTCCTTTTTGTTGTGTATAGACTGTATGTAAAAACCTCCTGAGAAACAATGGTTTCTACAGTTCTATACATCCTGTAATGGAGAGTTGAGCTCAGTTACAAAGGTGTGGCCTATTTAAAAAATTCTGTTGAACTTTCCAGTAATTGCAAAAAAGTCATTCCGAGCCCAGTTTTTATACACTGCATTACTTACGGTTAAGGTGATGAAGTTTTCAGAAAACATGTTATACAGCAGTTCCTTAGCTTCCTTGGCAGATATCATAGCGTAGTCTTCAATCTGGAAATACACATCATAGCATTGTTCTCAATCTGTCAACACATGATGATATGGACCCATCCCATCACAAAGATTAGTTTAATTCATTTCTTAAGTTATCAATTAGATTAGACAGCAGTCTGAATAGATCAAAGTCCCCTTCTAAAGGAAAACAACATGTTGGCAAAATATAACCTAAGATTTTAATGAGGTGATTTTTTTTTTAATTTTAGAGTAAATCACCAAAATTTATTATTTTGATACAAAAAGTAACAAGGTCATGAAGTTAAATTCTTGAAAACATGAAATTCCAAATAGAACATCAACAAACAAGACTACTTAGGTTCCAAATCCATGGTTATTCAGAACAAGTATCAAGATTTGTAATGCGTAACTAAAAGGATGCATATATTAAATCATTATACATGTATTTAAAAGATTTCAGAATATAATATAATTTCCCACTTCCATTTTATCTTAGTTTTGAATAACATTTAATTTTTAAAATGAAACAACTTGTTTGAATTACCTGTTTTTGCTTCGAGTGCTGCTTCATCAACAAGACTCTGAAGATTCTTAAGCACTTTGAACCAAATCTGCATAAAATGAATGATCTTATATGTCAGGGAAGCATAATTAAAAGAAATATATGTATATGTATATAACTTTCATTTTAACTGAAAGTTCAGTAATCAAACAAAATTATTCTATACATGTAAAAACTCTTCTCAAGACCTTTTAGTTAACAGACAGTATTTGTTTAAAAGTCATTCTAACATCATTAGAACAGTTATATCAATATTATTAACTCTTGTAAAAATATGAATGTATTATTTATGCGAACACATCCAGTTCAATGTACCAGGTATGCAGCATCAAATAGAAAGGTCAGATGGAAAGATAATGAGTATAATGAGAAGATACTATTGTTACAAAAGGTCAGATGGAAAGATAATGAGTATAATAAGATACTATTGTTACAAAAGGTCAGATGGAAAGATAATGAGTATAATAAGATACTATTGTTACAAAAGGTCAGATGGAAAGATAATGAGTATAATATGATACTATTGTTACAAAAGGTCAGATGGAAAGATAATGAGTATAATAAGATACTATTGTTACAAAAGGTCAGATGGAAAGATAATGAATATAATGAGAAGATACTATTGTTACAAAAGCGAATGAGGCAACAGTGTTAAGATGGTCAATGAGGAATACACTGAAGTGGGGAAGGAGGAGAGAGTAGATATTGAGCCACCACGACTTACCGTTCTTGTACCACAGACTCTAAGTGGGCTTTGGCAATCTCCTGCAAACCCTTGTAGAAATCTGAGCACAGTCAAGGTATACATATACAGAATGATCAAATCAAAATCATGTTTAAAACATTTAAATAACAGTTTCATGACTACAATTTTCCACAGGATTGCAACCAATGAAAAGACTATATTTAATTGTGAAAATGCAATAGAGCATACATGTATTAGAAAATAGCTTAACATATAACTATCATTAAACAATTGTTCAATGGTAAAGGACTAGCGGTGTTAGGGATTTAGAATTAGTTTTTATATGCGTTATCTAGAATAAATGAAGTACACAAATATGAAGCTTCACATTAATTTGACAACTGGTTTAGGAGATATGGCATTACAAAGAGAGACAAAAACTGGGTTGTTTTTTTTAATAAAATTCGTGAATATCGCCTGTTGTGCTCAATTTGGTTGAAAACTCGCCATTTTGAAGGAAATTAACTAAATACTTTTCTATTTTTAAAAGCCTGTGCATGCACCAAACAAGTAATATGCTGAAACATTGTCAAACCAGTGTTCATTCGAAGAAAGGATTTTTTGTTTGTCATATGCGGAGGCTTTCATATCTGCATGCTTACTGTCCAAAAACACCATATTTTAGCTATTTCTGCACAGCAACGCAATTTTGTTGATATGGTAGGGCATATATATGCATGCACGTTTGAAAAAATCTGCACCAAGAAAGATAGCCCCAATTAATCAATATGATGTTTTTAATAGAAAATGGTAAATAAATCCTGAGTGTGCTGATCAGAAGCAATTTTTTTTTACTGTAATTTTCTCCAGGCTCAAAAGGATACTGACAGCATACAAACCGCCAGACATCTCATCTACCTTGTTGAACATTCCATTCTGAAACAATGCAAGATACACAGGAAGTTCAATTAAATCTGACAAAACCTACATCGAACTCATCAAACAAATCATGGAGTGGAACATTTTAAAGTTTTTCTCTACTCTTGCATCTTTATTGTAAGGTGGATAATCTGGATACAAATAAACATTCTACCAACCAATTTTGGTTTTTTTAAGTAGTTCTAAGGGTCACTCTTAATATCCTGGAGTGAGCTAGTTCTTTTGCTCACTTTCAAAAACCTGGAGTGAGCTAGTTCTTTTGCTCACTTTCAAAAACCTGGATGGAGCTAGTTCTAAGGGCCACTCTGAGACCTTTGCTTCATAGCTGATGTATGTTATACATACCATGTCATCACACAACATCGTCATGTACATCTCCAGCACATGTCTGGTCAGAAACAGCTCCTTGGGCAAGGCATGGAACACCTGATAGAGTTTAGATGATAGAGACACATCAATAACGACATAGACTGTAGGATGCCTATTGTGTTTGAATTCATTTACAGACTTTTAAAAAGAGTCTGGAAGTTTTCATTTTAGCAAGGCCTTGCCTAGCTAACAACTAAACTTTGGTGCAATTTTCATATACGAAATAGTACTGAATTAAATATCCCTTATATCAAACTACCCAGAATATTGTACATGTTAATGACCAAGTGGAGGATCAACAGTCTAAAGAGGATTAGAGGCTAGAAGTAAGGGATAACAGTAAACATCCTAAAAAACACTTACCTCATTGACACTTATCGCACTTGAGGTTGTGGATCCTGACGAAAATTTTGTCTCACTCAATCTCAGAAAAGTTCGCAGTACTTCCCCAGCTTTCTGTAAATAACAGGTATTATACCTGATAAGTTAAGAGTGCTAACCTTGACATGTGATCAAAAACATCAACTCATTTACTGTATAGCGCTTTAAATTTGCGGGGTCAATATTTCGCGGTTTCGTATTCAGTACATATTCGCGGGGGTTAAATTTCTCTGGGCACCCGAATCCCATGTGACGCTTAAAGTATTTTGAGTGTCATTATTAAAGGGTTAAGCCCTTTTAAATACAGGTAAACTGTTTGAAAACACTGATCCCTAGCGTCGTCATCCGCCAGTGACTTCACTCGAAAGAATATCAAATGTGTATGTACCTTTGTAGGAGTAAACCGGTATCAATAAATCACCTACTGTGTACACATAAATATAATGTGGCCACTTATATGTGAGTCTTGCTTTTACATGGACTGCCCAGTTGTCCGGTGATAATGTGATTTGAGTTCATTTAAGCTTGCATAACAGCGTTGAGTTATTAGTATTTTAAACATGTTGTGATAAGGTCCGTAAAAGTGGTTAACATGATATTTTCGATAATTTCGCTGGTGTTTATTAGAATTCGCGGAAATTAGTCAAAACGCGAATATAGTGAAAATACCTTCCCTTACAAAATATAATTGCTATACAGTATTTAAAGTAGCATTGTTTAAACCACAAAAGTTCTTCAAGTTAAGTAGCAGTTCTAAGACAAACAATAACATAAATATACACAGAGCTGACCAGACATTTCCATACAAAGTTATAGAAAAAATCATTTTTATACACCAAAACCAGAAACTGCATGCAGAAAATATGTATGCCCCACCCCCACTTCGATGGAAATGGAGCTGTCAGACAGACGGACAAACCAAAGGAACGCTTGTTATAAGTATAATCCAATCAGATACCTTGTTATATAGAGGAAGCAATACAAGTAAAACCTTATTATGCTTACTCTACAGGTATACATCATGTTTTATTGTATAAAATTGATAGTTATATAATGTCACCAATCTTATACAGTAATGCTAGGATTTTGATATATAAGTACATGAAGATAAATAGTTGTGTACCGTGTCTATCTTACTGGCAGTGGATGCTACCAAGGTCTGATCCCGGATATGTTGGTGGAACCGGGCAAAGTTAACTCGCCAGTAAACGCCATCATCCTTTGGAACCTGGGAAGAAAACTAAGTTAAAAGATTTTCTCTCTGAACACATGTTAATTTATGTTAATTTTTCCTGTTTGAAGAAAAAAAGAAATGAGAATCGTTTAAACACACTGAAATAAAACTATATATATGATTTATACAATCATGTCGTCAACACCAAGGGACCCTACTCGGGTATTAACATTGTAATCACAGGACAAAATGGTAAAATTGTTTTTACTTAATGTGTATCACCATGGTAAAACACTAGCCACTTCCTACCGACTCTGCTAGGGAGAATTTCTCTTTAGCTCATTTGGTAGAGCGTAAGACTAGTAAGCCAGAGGTCCCGGGTTCAACTCCTACCAGAAGCATTGAAAAATAATTACCTCTGTTACATTTTTTACCCATATACATGTACATGCTTGTGAAGCACGTTTACTCTTTAGCAGTACAATTCTATATAGCTAGTTATAATTATGTAGCTACCAGATTTAATCTCATTTTCCACAGAGGTATATTTTATGAGCATTGAAACACAAGATCTTTGGCCACTTTAGACCTATTTGAGAAAGAGAAACTGCTGAAAATTAGCCCCAAAGAACTAAATGGTGGACACTAAATGATACCTCTATTCCATCTGCCAGTGGTTTAACTACAGTATCAATCTGCCCTTTTTTTACTTCAATCAATGTGGATGCTACAATATTTGAATAATAATGTTTATAATTTGTTGTGAAAGAGATTTAATGTAAGGAAAGATGTTGAAGTGGAAACTAAAGACATGAAGATATCCAAGGAAGTAAAACTACAAATTTACCTCTGCACTCTCCTTTGATTCTGTTCTGCTTCTTTTAGCAGGAGTTCCCTCCCCTTCAGTGGACAGCTTCCGTTTTCTGCTGGCTTCTCCTTCAACATTTCACATTGTTAGAATTATCCTTTCAAATTTCTCAAAAATAAAAACTTTTACAAATGCAAGTCATACAAAGTTTACTTATAACTATTGTCTGCTTGTGCCAAAATTTGGCCTTGGATCAACTCGCCATTTTTTCCCCGACAGCAAATAAATACATGAATACATATTCTATTCCCCACTGAATCAACTGCGTTGTGCACTTAAACTTGGTTATTTCTTTTTACAAACATTTAGTTCCTTTCTAACACATACTTGAGAATTATTAGTAATAATATTTAATGACTTTTATATGAGTTTTTGCAGTGTCAGAACATATCCGAGGACTATTTTAATTTTAAAGGTAACTAAATCAAAGTCTGGCACAGATTTTTCATTACAAATATATCATGGTACAATAATCATTTGGCTACAGAATACTTGTAATATATAGATCTGCTGTTATAAAACAGATCCTTGCACATATACTCAGACATAGTTTCACACCTAATTCATGCTACTGAATCTATTATTTCAGGGAAGTTACCATCAATATCCATTTTAGGTATAATGTACAGCTCCTCCTCGTCAGGTGGTTGTCCAGCAGCAGCTTCATCAGTGACCTCTTTGTCCAAACAACTTCGACAACGCTGAATGAAATGTGTTTTTGCTAAACTCTCAAATTTCTCCTTAACAAGCCCGGCAGTTATCCCAGGATGTCCTGTATAGACAGTAAGTAGTATCTTGTAATGAAACAAGTGCTACCTATAGAGACCAACGCTTAAGAACATACCACTGTATTTGGTTTAAACATCAACCACTAATAAACTAGTTTTTAAATCTGTACAACCCTGTAACTGTCAACTTGTCCCTGTGCAACAGATTGACCAATATATTAATTGCTGCGCGCTACAAGTATAACATCACAATGACTTATAATCCCTGTACAAATACATGTACCACCCAGAATTTTATAAAAACTTTCACTTCAACTTTACCTTAATACAACGTAGTATGTTGTAAGGGAAAACAATCTCTGTTTTTTCCTGACAGTGAAATCGTTACAAATACAAAAAGAAAAGAAAGAAATCCGCAAACCATAGGGAACTGATACTTATATTTGTAAATCCAAAATGGCAGCCTCCATACACAGAACATGTGTACATGCTGTTTTCTGGTTAAGCAAACAGTTATTTTACATACCAGGTATGTACGCACATATAACCTATATACAGCTCACTTTTTGTAAGCCTGCTTCACCAGCTCACACACATTAAAGCACTCACTATTACAGCTGTCTAAAGACAAAGGAATGATGGCATCTCCCTAAAGATATCACTTTTCTTTAGTACTCCCTTCCTTACATATTTTTTTCATTTGATAAATAAATTTGATATTTCCTTGGTATAATTAATATTATAGACCTATCCCTTGTGAAGTTATATAAAACAAGACATTAATGTACCTTTGTATATATGTATCTATACATTAACACAGCAATCCAATGATTTTATCAAGGACTGATCATCATTCCAGTATTAATTATGTTTTCCCATTACATGAATAAGCTTTAAAACATGGAAATATTTCAGTTTATCTGCCATCTCTACCTTAAGGCATCAAGTGATATACACCAAGTTCATCTCTTAATTTACATAAAACGCCAAGGACTTCATTATGAAATTTGTCTGTTATCTCACCTGAGGCATCAAGGGCTTCATTGAGTTTGTCTGTAATGGCGATGATTGTCTCACTCATCAGACACCGTCCCTTGTGCAGGAGTTCCTCCACCAGAAGTTCTGCTGCATCACCATACAGAGTCTTGGCACAGTAGATGTAGCGAGGAAACCGGATACGCCACTGGATGACATCACAATGTATGGTGTATTCTGTCAATCCTTTCTTGTTAAAGTCGAATGTGACAATGTTGTGTTGTATAAGAAGACAGAGCAGCTTCTTCACCTATGAAATATCAAAATTAATACAGTATATTCTACAGCGAAAGCCACCTCTTTGTTCTGAACATACTTGCCAACTCTCCCTATTTAGGAGGAAGACACCCGATTTCGGACCGTTAAATAAAATGTTTCAAATCAGTTAATTTGCTAAACTTTTCCTTTATTCTAAGATCTATTGATTGCTTGGTCATCATAATCAAATTATATCGCCTTTGACAATTACAAATATTTCAGAGAACAGCAAATAAAGGCCATCCTATATATACATATCCAACAAATGTGTAGAATTCATTTTTCTGTTCCATAAAGATTATTAAAGAGTCTTGTACAGTCAGACATCAGGACATGATCTACAAAAGTATAGTGACCACAATATTTAGACTTGTCAATGAATTCAGCCATCAAGACACATTTATAGACTAATGCTGTCCCACTAAGGCCTCTATGTTGTTGACCCTAAAGTCGCACGAGACCCTACACCCTCTCTTGTGGATTTATTTAGTGGGGCACCAAATATGGCAGGAGAGGAGATTTTTGAAGGAGACTCTTGATTTTCATTGATTTAATTTTTCTTTTGTAAGCTTATTATGTTGTCTCCACTTTCTAAAATAAAGGCTCAGTTTCAGATGTGGGAAAGCCAAACTGCATGTGTGCTAATGTGTTTAAGGTAATGTCCTGATCATCTAAGTGATGTCAACATGCCTGTTGTTATGCCTTGTTTCAATTTTGTGTATTTATGTTCATCTCTTAATAAGCTTTATACACTTTTGCGTGCTGAATATGATATTGCATAGCTGTCCATGTATATCATTATATGCCATTTATAGTCAGCTGGTATTTCAATGTTTCATAGCTGTTTTCAGATATTAGGGCTATTTTTCAACAGGTCTGCATGCTTGTTTTAGTGTGTTTTTAGTGCTTTTACGATTGTAGCTTCAGTTTCTCAGTGCTTATGTGCCAATATATATAGTATGCATGTGTTCGTATTTCTTCAGTAATTATCCTTAAGTGTCACATTTGTGTCGCATGTTGTATTAGAACAGTGTTTTTATGATTTCAGGCTCTTTGTAATTTTTAGTTCTAGTATGTTGTGTTTTTTACTTTGTACTGCTATCTGTTTCTTCGTTATTAGTTTTGACTTTGTTTGTCAAAACACAAGCTCCTATGAGCTTATGATCCTTTTAACCATATTCAACACTAAATACAAATTGGTAGGTTGGTGTCAAGTCGTTTCACCCTAAATCCTGTTTGCCCTTGGACATTTCTCACTAAGTTAATTGTTTCGCCCTAAAAATATTTTTAGAGTGAAATGTTTTAGTCCTATTTAGTTGTGTATGGCAAAGACTAATAAAATCTCTCCCATTGTTATGAATAGGGAACCACCCTCCCCCGTCTCAACCCTAAGGTGAGATAAATTAAGGATATCTCACACCAGTAAAAGTGTGGATACACCTGTCCAGGGTAAGAGACAAATTAATTTCAAGCTTTTCTATGTCTCCTTTAGAATTTTTTGTATATTTTTACATGTGCATTACAGCATTTCAGCATTTCAGCATTTTCTCATGCCTTTTTAATAACAGCATAAGCCATTTCAGGGGTAAACATTAAGAACAGGGGCAGGTCTTCTACTCGTAAATAGTGTTGTTCAGATAATTGATTATAATCAAAAATCAATTAATTATACAATCAATTCAAATTACCGATTGATAAATTTCATAATCTATTAGCCTAATCGGTTTAAATATTGCATGCTGTTTTCTGTTGATATCTGTCAGATTTACTCTTAGTCAAATTCTAGTAGTCTAAGGTTAAAATCAATAGTGTAAAAGCATAAAAATATCATATGGATATACCAAGTCAGCCTTTGATTTTACATGGCAAAATTATGCTGTGAATCCCAATTTTAAGTGGTATATACCATCATAATTACACATATTTCAAATAGATTTACTAGAATTTGGATGTTCTGATTATAATCGGTAATTGATCATTAAAAGTCTTCCTATAATCGATTATGATTTCCGCTTCTGATTTTCAACACTGCTTGTAATACATATGTAGCGAAACTGGACTCATGGACTGGGTCGATCGTCAGCGACCAGATAGCTCAATTGGTAGAGCGTCCGTCTAGAGTTCGGAGGGTCCCGAGTTCGAACCCCAGTCTGACCGTGCATTTTCCCTCTCCTGTTACTGTGGTGCCTGTGACCAACCCTTGTTTCAAGCATTTGGTGTATGTTTGGCAAGGGGATACCCGAGCCTGGGTTGTAAATAGTTGTGTCTTCGGGGGAGAAGACTTAGAAAAAGGAGGGAGGAATGTAGCGAACTGGACTCACTCACTCAGGGTCGATCGTCGGCGACCAGATAGCTCAATTGGTAGAGCGACCATCTAGAGTTCGGAGGGTCCCGGGTTCCAACCCCGGTCTGGCCGTGCATTTTCCCTCTCATGTTACACATGCACACCATCCGTCAAATTAGGTGACTTAGTTGAAAATGTTTTCTATATATCATAAGGTTAAATAATTGATAATTGCCAGTCTCTTTAAACAACGTCAAATGAAGATATTTGATCTGTAAGAAATTAAATATATATCGGACCATGATGCAACTTGAATTGAGAGCCATCTCATCGTCAAATAATGCCGATGCAATCCGTCGAATTAGGTATCGTCGGAAGCACAACAAGTCTGCTGTACCTGTTTCAATTGAAGTCCCGATTCCACCAATATGTATTTAAGTATGCACGGTCCTTTCTTGAGTAAAACTTGAGCGACCTTCGAAATTAATTCTCCGAAATGTTCCTGTAAAATTAAACAGCATAACGCATTTCTGTCTTGTGACATTTTCGCTCGAAAACATGAAATCTGCCATGGGTCAGGTTATACAGACGCTTGATTGAAGTCTAACGATAATCATCCAGGAGCTTGAATGGCATATACTCACTACAAGAGACATATATAAAGCAAGTATACTACGTCTCTGCTCAAAAGTAAAATAAACTTAAACGCTCTAGCTGGTCTAACCCTAGCTGCGATAACGTAGCTTTCTGACGACGAGAGATTTTTTTTATATATTGCGCCGGCCGGGGCAGAGGAGGCCGGGTAATAATATTAGTACTAGTCTAACCCGCGGTTTAACCCGTTATGAAAACAATATATATACCGGATGTGGGTATACAAATAGATTTTGTTTTTGCTTTTAAATCCTTTAAAGCAAATACATACAACTGTTGAACTCAAAATCGCCGAAGTATATAATATATTTGATTTTCTACAATCATAAAACGTTTTATGTTTTACTTTCACATAATCTACGCACACATGTACCTTTCGCATTTCTTTTTACAAGAAGTTGAACATTTCCCTTTTCTCTCTTTTTTTTTTTTGCAGAAATCCATGCATATAATAATATTTTATATCTATTAATAAGTAGTGTAGAATACTTTTGATATGCCTAAACGTTTAAGATACTATATATATATATATATTGTGGCGGCCAGTTCCGAATCGAGATGAGGGGTTCATATAGACATACATGTACAACTATCTGTCATTTGTCCTCAGAAGAAAAATATTTCCCAATTAAACGGGACCCTGTCCTCAATCCCCAGGGAGGCTACATCCTTCATCAAACAAAATGTATACATCCTATAAACTTTGGTTAAAATCACGAAATTGATATACATGTATACACTTAACACTTATATTAATTAGTCTATGACTGGGTACTAACAAAGCGTAGCTGATCGATGTGTTGTTTGTCGGTGATTTCGCACATTAATAACTCTTATAGCTACATTTGTAAAACGTAAATTTGGTACTAACATAGTTGAATCGACATTTCGATTTCATTCCCGTAAATATTTTACTGACATCTCGGCTACTGGTCATTTGCTAGAGTACATATCGTGCTAGTCATTGAAACATCAACATTTCATTAGCTGTACCATAGGAATCTGAATACACTGAATACAATCAATTTCCTGATTTTAACCAAAGTGTATAGGACATACATTTTGTTTGATGAAGGATGTAGCCTCCCTGGGGATTGAGGACAGGGTCCCGTTTAATTGGGAAATATTTTTTCTTCTGAGGACAAAAGGACAGATTTGGAATAAATTTTGTATACAACATCCCTAAGGGAAAACAAAATTGCATGATAGTGAGTGTAGCCCTCACACGGGCAAAGCACGGAATGGATGGAGCATAATGATGTTAACAGGTAATTAGGTCATATATATGCTAAGTAGTCCATAAGCCAGATTGATGTGTATATCATTTAAGGGCACGGTATAACTCCAATTCCAAAAAATGCATGCTATGTGTTCAGTATACAAATCAGCCAAAGCTGACATTTGATATCGGTAGCTTAGTAATGATTTTCTCTACTTCATAATTGTATAGCCCCCACCCCACCCCTATCATAGCAATGCTCTCTCAGTTATCGATGCGTAATCATTTGTATATTAAATGCGTTCATTTGCAGAAAAAAGGACATAATAGACTGGAGGGTTCATAATTAAAATAATGCGAACTTTTTCACTTTCAACATAGAGCTTTCCCAATATTTCTCAACCTTTTCGTATATCCCACCCCAATTATTCCTATAGCAATGCGTTTGTATCATATTGTGTCTTGATTTCGATGAACCCGAGAGCTAAATTTTGATTTAAATATGGCTGCACAGAAGAAAATGTTGATGACTGTAAATTTAGATGATTCAAAGGAAACATGAATAAGATAAAATGTACAATAAAAAAATCTTATAGATTATTTTTGCATTGAGTACCCTTATATATACATGTCTCAGTAACCTGTATATACTATAAACATACGGTGTAATATAACTATAAATAATCTATAGTTTTTATTTTCATATTGAAACTTCTGTCAATACTGGATAGGTACAGCCACACCAGACCAGTCGAGGTGGAGACACCAGACGAAGAGCAATATTCATCCATTCCTTTTTATTCTATGGACAGATTTGCGAAAAAAACATTTTTAAAGAAGAATATGATAACATGTGTAACTGTTCCTTAATAAGATTACAGAGCCATACACTCTCGCATAACAAACTAAAGTTTTAACTTTAGCATTTTCTTGGCTGGTGTATTCCTCTGTTTATTTGGAGTTTAACGTTCTCGCAACAGCCAGGGTCATATGAGGACGGTTGCATTGCCTTGTGAAATATCACCGAAAACGTGTAGATTCCATGTGTTGCCATGGGAACGGCAGATCTATTTTCGTTTCATCGATGTCCCTTTAGCAAAGGACACAGAAGTAAACCCACGGTTCGTGGGTTAGGGCATGCTCGATACACCAGGGGTTACGATCACCTTAGATCGTTCTCTGCACCCCTTGAATATGTCATAGCAAAATCGGAGGCTTAAGTGTGCGGCACCTCGTGGATGAGACAAGAAGACTTGTTCGATCCTTTTATGTACATTACATGAATTTCACGGTCGCATAACGGTAAAACTGGCAGGCTTTGATGTTGTGTGTCGCTCCTCTGTAATCTTCAAAAGACAGATATCAGCCTAGTGATTGGTGAGTATGTTGATTTTTACATGAGACCAATCAAATAGCTAGCCACGTGCCTTCAATTTTTCTATGACATATTCCAGGGGTGCAGAGAGCATAAGTGAGCATTATCCCTGGAGTATCGAGGATGGGGTTATGAATGGGGTGTATATAATTGTCCTTTTACGGTAACATGCGGTGTGTTACAACAGGCTTATTTCTTTCTAAAACCAACAGAGGTTCGCCAATTTGTTCACTAGAAATAAGATAACAGAGAGTAACAACCAGATGATTTCTCGTTAGAAATAATACATACGTACCACGTAAAAGTAAGTAAGTAAAACCCAGGCTAAAATGCATTAGAAATAATGCATATGTACCACGTAAAAGTAAGTAAGTAACACCCAGGCAAGAATTCTTTAGAAATAATGCATATGTACCACATAAAAGTAAATAAGTAAAACCCAGGCTAGAATTCGTTAGAAATAATACATATGTACCACGTAAAAGTAAGTAAGTAAAACCCAGGAAGAATTCTTTAGAAATAATACATATGTACCACGTAAAAGTAAGTAAGTAAAACCCAGGCTAGAATTCTTTAGAAATAATGCATATGTACCACGTAAAAGTAAGTAAGTAAAACCCAGGCAAGAATTCGTTAGAAAAAAATACATATGTACCACGTAGAAATAAGTAAGTAAAACCCAGGCAAGAATTCTTTAGAAATATTACATATGTACCACGTAAAAGTAAGTAAGTAAAACCCAGGCAAGAATTCATTAGAACTGATATAACAGAGGTAAGTAAAACCCAGGTGAGAACATGTTTGATTGGTCTCAGGTAAAAAAAACACCTGACCAATCGCTAGGCTGATATCTGTCCTTTGAAGATTACAAAAGGGACGACACCCGACTTAGAAAGTCATTCAATTTTACCGTTACGCGACCGCGAGATTCTTTGATTGAACTAGTCTTCTTGTCTCATCAACAAAGAGGCGCACACTGATCCTTCAATTTTGCTATGGCATATTCCATGGGTGTAGAGAGTGTAAGTGAGCGTAACCCTTGGATATCGAGGATGGGGTTAGAAGTAATCAGAAATAATATCATGGCGAAAAATTAAAACAGAGATAGCCATTCATTAGAAATAATATAACAGAGGGTAATAAAAACAGGGTAAATACTTTTATACGATACAATACAAAAGAGGTAAGTAAGGACCAGATTAGCTTTTCTCCCACCACCACTGCAGGTTTTCTCACTCATGACTGATTGGATAAACCTGCTAGGAGTTGGTAAACAATTTTGGTTACTCACTAGTGGGTAACTCCTTGGACGTGATTTCATTGGCTAATCTGTTATTTATGACGTCACAAAACAATGCTTTTTTGACGCCATTTGCCATTATGGCGCCATTCCCGAGGCATTATTTCCCTTATCGGAAACACACATGATGTATTTTCCAAGGAAAACGTGTTTTTTCAAGATAAAATGCGAACGTTATGGGAGAAACAGGTTCCCAAACTCGTGATGATTAGTTATCACATTTGTCTTGCTCTCGTTAGTTAATTTTCAAATTGTAAAAGACACTCGGTCAACCTCGTGTCTTTATACAATCTGAAGATTAACTAACTTGAGTTAGATAAACCTGATAACCAACCAACACTCGTTGGGGAACCTCTATTCAATTAGAAATGATGTAACAAAGCAATTCAAACATAAAAACATACAGCAAAGAAAATTTCAGGGCTGGCTTAACTAGGGCAAATTGGGAAGACTGTTTTAATGCAAAGGATGTAGATAGTGCATGGGTAGCCTTCAAAACCATTTTTATGACGGTTTTAGACACAGATACACCTGTGAAAGAGGTACGAGTAAAACAACGGAGCGAACCATGGATTACACCAGAGATTTTAGAAAATATTAAACACAGAGATGGTTTCCTGAATTTATTCACAGCTAGTAAAAATAATGAGGACTACATGTCTTACTGTACCATTAGAAACAAAGTACAAAGGGATGTAAAAGATGCTAAGTCAAATTACTTTTCGGAAAAAATAGAAAAAAACAAACATGATTCAAAGAAATTATGGCAACATCTGAAAGATTTGGGCTATACAAATAAAGCAAAAGGAGATTCAAATATTGTTTTAAATATAGATGGAGAAAACTGTCATGACCACAAAGGTGTAGCAGATCATTTTAATAACTATTTTACAAATGTAGCTTCCAAATTGGTACAAGAGTTACCTCCAGCCAAGAAGTTGTACTCCATAGGTTCAGCTCTTTAAACGAATTTTTACAAATTAATAAATCCAAGAGAGAAGAAATTTGTTCTCCGTCAGGTATCAGAGGAGTATATCTTTAAGG